AATGCCAAAGTTGTTTTGAGGGGAAATAATACAGCCCTCATCTCAAAGGGATCCTGGAGAAAAGAAGTATTACATCCACATAGACAAGGGTCCCTTGAAAACGGAAATCTAACATAACTGGACTAGTACTACAGGATGTGCAACAGTCAGCATGAATTTGTAGTAAACCAGATACTATTTAAAATGTTAGGTGCTTCCATAAAGGATGTGTAACACGATATTTAAATTGAATTGAAATATTGCCTTGTAAAAAGATCTCTGTAGTTAGATTTACAAAGAGAAGACATTCACAGAGGACACAAAACAATTAGAAGCAATTGTAGGTTCATGCTGCCAAAGAAAACACTTCTCAAAAGACCTCAGAGTTACCCACTTTTAGGTTACCTACTTGTCCATGCGATTATATCCTTCCCATTCCAACGCTACACATAGTGCCCGAGGTGCTTCTCAATCTTTTTCAAACCACTTCAGAAAGTGGAATTAAGAAAATGTTAAACAGTTCTTGGCTATAGTGATATCATTCAGTGCTATACACAAGTGAATTTAGCGCTAGGGAGAACAAACAGCCACAATGCAGGAATAAATGGATCATTTCACCAGATACTGCAAACACCTAGGTCTTTTCCTTACCTGCCTCCTGTCCCTCTGAGACGATGATGAAGAGGAGGCACTCCTATGTGACGGAGTAGATGTTTTATGAGCTGGAGATATACTCTTCTCCTCTGAACTCATCTTTGCAGCAAACGTAGTAAAGGTCTTGTGCTCTTATCACTCATGTACAAAAAGACAAGGGATAGTCTTCCGCATCCTTCTGTTTCACAGTTTATGGATAGCCAAAGAGGAATTCAATCTCAGCTGAGCTGCACCTTAATAAAGAAAAATGTGAGACAAAGTGTGAATGAATACACCCTAGCTCCACAGTAGCTCTGCAGAAAAGAACTCTGTTGACAGTCACTATTTAAATGCAACAGATATCCCACTTTTTTACTTCTCTTGCTAAAAATTACCCAGTACAAGTAGAAATACATTGTTCTGCATTCTCACAGAAGAAGAAAGTGGTATTATGTTATTTCAAAAAACCCTACATAAAGGCTTAAGGAATTTACAGCAACTCTCAGGCAAAGTTTACAAATCCTTGACAAGGGATCGTTATCCCACCTTGCATAATATCCTAACGGTATCAAGTAACTCTTTAGGACTTCTTGTACAACAAAAATACCACTGAACACCCTGTTATAATCACTACTTCTTAAAACCCCTGAAGTTAGATTAAGGGCTCTGCAAGTTGGATTTTAAAGCAGGTCCTTCTTTCAAAGACAGTGGCCTCACTGAAGGGGTGGATACCCAGGGTTCACAAATCAGCATCTTTCAAATGGTGTGGAGCTGACCATATGCTCATATCTTGTTCTCAAAGATGACTGAAAGATGATACAAAATGTTTTGACCATAAAACACTTTCAGCCACAAGACTGTGGGGCCAGGAGGTATTAATAGGACAAAAGTTTCACTACATTTGTTGAATTCCAAGTATTTAAAAAAAAAAAAAATTTACTGACGAAGGCAGGAGCTACACAAGGCCTAACTCAAGTGCTCTTGGGCTGGCATGCTGGGTCAAGTGCCCAGGTCTGGCAGTGCAGGGCTACAGGGGTGGCTTCTGTGAGGAGCTGCTGGGGCTGTCAGAAGCTGGACACAGGCAGTTCCAGCCAGCTCTGCAACAGCCACACTACAGAGAACAGCTGGGCTGCTTGGCAAAAAGATGTCTAAGAAAGGACAGAAAACACCATAAAGGCACAGGAGAAGGAAGAAATGACGAACACGCCTGTGAACACCAGGGTCAGAGAAGGAGGGGCAGGCACAGTGTCCCAGGTGCTACAGAAGAAACTCTCCTGCAGCCCTTGGAGGTGATGGGTAGTCCTGAAGGATCCGTGGCCCATGGAGCACCCACACTGAGCAGATTTTTCCCTGAAGGACTGCAGCCCACGGGAAACCACATCAGAATGGGGGGGGTGGAAGTGTAAGAAGGCAGGAGTGGTGAGGAAAAACTGCTCTGTACTGACCACAAACACCACCACCCTCATGCAACTCAGGACAGAGGGAGACTAGAGGTGTCAGGAAGGAAGGAGTGAAGTTGAGCTTGGGAAAAATGGGAGGAAAGTTGTTGTTTTAATGTCTTTCATTTCTCACTACCCAAATCTATTTTAATTGGCAATAAATTAATTTTTCCCTAAGCTGAGTTTTGCCCCTAACAGTAATAGATAAGCAGTCTCCCTGTCTTTATCTCAACCCATGAGCTTTCTCATCCTATTTTCTCCCACCATGCCACTGAGGCAGGAGGGAGTGATCACCTGGGTGTGCACTTGGCTGCTGTCCAGGGCTAACCCACCACAGCTATAGGTACCCTACTCTTTACTGCTTACTAACCCACTGCTATGTGTATCACCCCAATGCAAGTATTAGAGGCTTTCTCTCACTTCTCTCCACTCAAACCTTTAACTTCCAGCCAAGAACAGAAAAATAGATACTTAGAGCAGCACGGAGGATATCTGTGTCAATAAATAGTCAAACACTACCTGTCAAACACTATCAAAATATTGCAAGTACACCACCAGTACATCATGACAGTTCAGGAATGGAGTTACAGTTCTCAGTGTTTAACAGATTACTTTGATCTTGCTTCAGCTGATAGATATTGTGTCTGATCTTCCATTAACCTTGGATAAAATTGTTCCCTTAATGATGGTGTCTGCTTAAAGCTAACATCTATCTTCTCCATCGTCCTCTCTCTTGCTTTGAAATAGTGCCCTTCCACATACACCGTGATGACAGCACATCAAGGGTCAGCACAGCATAGATAGCTCTAGATGGGAGTGGAGAAAGGTGCTGTCCTGCACCGTATTAAACAAGATCAGGACAAAAACACACTAACCAACACAGACATGACTGCAGGCTCAGTAAAGTATGGCACTGAAGACAGCTCTAGCTTCTCCAATCACAACAGATACCCATGCAAGAACATCATCCTGAACCCAGAGTCAGCTAAATAATTAACTACATTGTGCCTTGCAGCCCAGAGCTTCTGAACACTGCACCCTACCAAACACCCTTCTGCTGGAGCTGAGATTTGTAATGACTCATAACTGACAGACACTTTTTCTGCTTGCTGTACTATGAAAGGTGGAATGACTTCACTTTATTATTTATCAGCACTTTTGCTCGTATGAATCTCATCCAAATCTTAGGGATGAGTTTCCACCTCCATCAAGGGGTCTCCCACAGAACTGGCGATGGAACATGGTATCTAGAGAGCCCACACAGCAAACCAATGTCAGGAGTAGGAGGACATGGCTGTTCCAAGACCAAAAGCTGCCCACATAACCTGAACACCTTGGCAATTCTTCTATTCTTTTCAGGATGAGAAATTCCTGCTAGAAGAAGCCTAAGAAGACAGGTGGTGCTGGATCTGCTAGAGCCACCTACAACATGACAAAGGTTACAAGAAGAAGGAATGAAGCTGCACGGCACATTTGCTTCAGAATTTCAGAGAGAAAATATAATGAAGTTGCGCCCAAAGAGAGGCTTTTCCTTCTATCCTAGCACACCAGGGACTGCTGATCTATTTTAACAGCATTTTCATATCCAACAAATGCATCATGCAAATTTTCATAGAATCATAGAATCATTTAGGTTGGAAGGGACCTCCAAGATCATCAAGTCCAACCACTGAGCCACCAGGGCTCCAAAGTCCTCTGCCAAAACAGATCAGAATCTGTCAGGGTTGGAAGGGACCACAAGGATCACCCAGTTCCAACCCCTCTGCCAGGAGCAGGGACCCCTCCCACTAGATCAGGCTGCCCAGAGCCTCATCCAGCCTGGCCTTAAAGACCCCCCAGGGATGGGGCCTCAACCACCTCCCTGGGCAACCCATTCCAGGGTCTCACCACTCTCATGGGGAAGAACTTCTTCCTCATGGCCAGCCTGAATCTGCCCACTTCCAGCTTTGCCCCATTCCCTCTAGTTCTGTTGTTACTCGATATCCTAAAAAGTCCCTCCCCAGCTTTCTTGTAGGCCTCCCGAAGATACTGGAAGGCCACAATAAGGTCACCTCGGAGCCTTCTCTTCTCCAGACTGAACAGCCCCAACTCTCTCAGTCTGTCCTCGTAGGAGAGCTGCTCCAGCCCTTGGATCATTCTGGTGGCCCTTCTCTGGAATCGCTCCAGCCGGTCCACGTCCCTCTTGTAATGGGGGCTCCAGAACTGGATGCAGTACTCCAGGTGGGGTCTCACCAGAGCAAAGTAGAGGGGGAGAATCACCTCCCTCAACCTGCTGGCCACACTTCTCTTGATGCAGCCCAGGATCTGGCTGGCTTTCTGGGCTGCAAGTGCACACTGTTGGCTCAGAGGTGTATCAAGAATGATTTCACAAGGTCTATGCAATTTTTATATAAATCAAAAATCATATTGTAAACATCATAATCCTAGTTCACAAAGCTGTGCAGAATAGTCGAGTTATTTAATAGCTAAAGGGACAGATTTTCAGTTACCTTCACCTATGAGGTCACTGAAATTTTTTCAGCAGAGCAGCTTTCAGGCAAATGAAAATCAGCCCTTTTTCAAAACATCTGATTTTCACTCAGTTGGCACAGGAGGACAGTGATCTGGTACTTAAAGTGTGTTTTTAAGGCTCTCAGGAAGCCTTAAAATAACTTCAATACAAAATTGGTATTATTTATACATAGAAATTTCTGATTAAGAAACAGATCAGGGTTAAAAATCAAAAAAAAAGGCAAATGGGCTATTTGAGAAAACAAGCAATGTAAGCACAACAAAAAATACTAATGCAAACTAGGAAGAGCTAGCATTGCACTTTTTGTTATTGTTCTTGCACATTGAATTTGGATTCTCTTTCTCTATATTGCTAAGAGTTTATCTTCCAATTTTGGCTTAAAATTTGGGTAATTCATCTTTTTTAGAGCATGTTAGAAGAAACAAATTTAGCAAAATTGATGTAAAGAGACATCAGTCTCTCTGTAACTAAGATTGAAGCAAACAATTATAAATCTAATTTTTTGGCCAACAAATTCAATTTACCAAAACGAAGCCAATGCTTTTGAGACATTTTTCATGGGGTCTTTCCATCAGTCACTGGCAATTTTGCTATTGACTTCAGTGGGAACAGAATCGAGCCACATACCCTGGTAGAATAGTTCTCAAAAATAATATAAAATCTAAAAACACATTCAAAAACTATGATGTTGGGTTTTGAGGGGAGGGGATGTCTGCCTAGTAACTGTGGATTTGTTTAGATACTATTTTCTGACAAAGACAAAAAAAACACCTGCCTCGTTGTAGAAGGCAAATTTTATCATTCCTTTACTTCACAATAAATATGTCTCCAAGCTGAAAGTACTTTAACTGATTTCAGTCAGATAACTCAAAAAGAATGGCATTATTTGGCATAAGTAAGGGTAATAGTATTGGCCATTGGTTATTGATTGCTGCTTATCCAAATAACAGTGACCTTTAGGCTGCATTTTGCACCACACCAGCTAAAGCCCTGATGAACTGATGAAAACGAACCGTCAGTTTAGGACCACATGTTGATTCAACCCATCAAATGGGACCATGCATCAAAGCTTGCCTCAAAGCTGCTTTGCCATGAGTTCCAAAGGCAGGAAATATATTTATTGCTTCCAGCATATACAGATAGACAGACTTCCTGGGACATGAAAACCA